CCCTCCTCCCCCCTGCACCCTGCTGCATGGGTCTAACACGAGCATTGTATGTCCCCCGGTGGCTTGTCACCACCCCCCTCCCCTGATCCGGACCCTGCCGCGTGTGCAGTTCGCCGCCGCGGTGTCCTCTACATCCGCTGCAAGAAGACTCCCAAGCACAAGCAGCGCCAGGGCTAAGCTGTTCTCCAGGCACCAGGCCTTGCCCCTGTCCTCCCCCTCCTGTCCTTGCCTTCCTTCCTCGCTACATATGTACACCTGCTAGATCACTTTATGCGTATGCATGCGTCCATCTACCTGCGTGCATGTGCACCCACAAGAGGGGGAGGGACCTGCGTCTGGACCACTTGGAAGTATCTTTTCTTATTTCGCCATTTTCCCAATCAATACTGAGTAGCACACACTCAAGCACAGCAGATCGACGAGGAAGATCGAGAAGCACGGGAGGGGGGGGGGAGGCAGAGGAGAGTACACACAGGGCGGGCCCCGGGGAATGGTGCCTACTCAGCCTCGGAATCGGAGCTCTCGCCGTCATCCGAGAGGGGAGCAATGCGGAAGCGATCGATCACACCTTGAAAAAGGCGCACGGGGGGGGGGGGGGGGGAAGGTCAGTTGACGGAGGAAGAGAGCGAGGGGAAGAATACGAGGGCGAGGAGAATGGCGCACTGGAAGAGGCAACCGAAGCAAGAAGCTTCTTGTTCAGATGGTCAGTCTGAGTCAACTCGTAATGGGGAGCCGGCTCCTCCTCCTGCTCCGGCTGCTCCGGACCCGGCGCGGCGGCGACCGGGGTGGTGTCCGGGAGGTCGGACACGGGGCAAGTGATGGGATTGGCATCGGCAGAAGTCATCTTTGGAGCGGGGGGGGGGAGAGAGAGAGGGAAGGGGGAGGAGAGACTGGTGAGGAGGAGGGGAGGAGGAGCGGATAATAGAGATGGTGGTTGGTGGTGCAAGGAGCCAGAGGTGCGCTGCTGGCCGATCAAGGGAAAGGGAAACCTCACCGAATGGCCCAGATGCCGCAGACAGAAGTACCGGAGGGGAGGGACCCCGAGAATGAGGGAAGAACCAGCTCGGAACCGAGGGCGGGGATTGAGTCTGGATGATCATGTGTGGGCACGTGCACATGTTGTGACTGGACCGACTTCCGCCGCGCCGACTACCAGATTGGCCGCCAATCGTGCATTTGGAGGGAGCTCGCCTCAGGCACGGCCTCTCCTTCCGGACTGCCTCCCGTTGGGGATGGGCCGTTCTCGCGGGGAAGAATTGAACTAGCGCCAGTGGCCGCCTCGAGCGGAGATGTTAATCGAGGATGGTTAAGTACCGGGGAGGACGGGAAAGCAGCGTCCTTTCCGGCTCCAGTTTGTCCGGAAAAGCGGCCAAGGGGAAGGAGTTCGCAAGGAGGTGATGCAGCGAGATCTGCTCACCCTGAGTCGTGCGAGGGTGGGAGCAGTGGTGCGATGAGGCACACGAAAGCCCGGTGGAATGACGACCCCTATTGCCTCACACCGTGGGGCCGTCCATCGCTAAGCCCACACACAGACAGACGCAGGCGAGAAAGCGGTCATGGAGAGGGAACCAGAGCCGAGCACAGGAAACTGCCTCTCCTCTGGGGGCAGTGACGCCGGCGGAGAGGGACAAGAAAGCCACCGAGACACTCCTTTTCCTCTTAGCTCACCTGCCGAATCCCGAGGCGGAGTGCCCTCGGGCGTCGGGGTCTCTCACAGACCGCGGGCGGCGGAAAAACTCCACACGCCTGGGATCGGGCTCTTTTCTCGCCACCGAGGACATCCCCCCACAGTGAAACACATTCACAGACACACTCGCGTCACCTGAGCAGCTCCCCCTCCTCTCTCCTCCCCTCGCCTCACACTGCGGCGTCCTCGCCCCTGCCCCCCGCCACGCCACTCTCGTCCTGCCTGCCGACCCCCCGCGCATTTGCCCTGCACAGAGAGAGAGCGCGGAGGCGGGGAGGGAGCGAGGGGGAACGACGACGACGACGACCTGCGCTCGCGCTTCGCTCTCTCTTGCGGGCCTTCTGAAGGATAGAGTTTATTCCAAATATCTGGCAAGATCCATCCTGCGGCACCGAGAAATGGTGAATGCTTTGGCTGGCGGTGGTGGTGACTGGAGGAGTGAACCGCCCGGGACCCCCGAGCGCATCTACCTGGACCATCATCACCCGGTCATGCTGTGAATGATGGTCCTCTCTTGCTGTCGAAGGACATGTGTTCGCTAGGAAAGAAAATTTACTGCGTGCGTTCACAGCCAGGGGAGGAGAGGAGGGAGGAGAGAAGAATAGGAGGGTTAATCGGGTGTGCTCTCGAGAGCGAGGCCACAAAAAAGCGGACACGAGGGGGAAGGGGACAGAAGAAGAAACATACCTTCTTGCCAGAACCGACCTTGGCCTTGGCAATACCGCGCAGCTTCTTCTGGCGGTTCTTGCGCTCCTTGCGCTGCTTGGAGGAGCCAATGGGCTTGGTGTAGAGGCCCTGCTACAGGTGCCAAATGGGGGAGATGGGCGGGAAGAGGGGGGGGAGAGAGTCGGAAAGGCGAATGCACGACCGTCAGCAAAGGAAAGAACACACCAAAATAGAAAACAGAGCCCAGCGACAAGCGCAAATGGCGCGACGCCCAGGATGCGAGCGAGAGAACACAGGAGAGGGGGGGATGGATCACGCACGCGCTGCAGGCGGAAGGCGGGCTCGAACTGCTTGGCAGCGTCGAGGGTGTCGTAGATCATGCCGAAGCCGGAAGACTGGCCACCACCGAAAGCGCTCTTGAAGCCGAAGACGAAGACGGTCTCCTTCTCAACCTTGTACATCTTGGAGAGCATCTCACGGATGGTATCCTTGGAGGGGCTGGAGGCGTTGGGGTGGATGACATCAACAACCTACACGGAGGACGGACAAGCGGAAGAAGAGGAGGTTAGCCACAATGCGGAGATGTGCCAAGCCAGGGGGGAGCTCACACGCGAGACGCCCCCCACACCCACGGCATCATTGAGGGAGAAAGAGCGAGCCGACGTGCGCGCGTGCCCGACTTCTCCGCATCGATGCCGGAGGAAGAGAGCACAGGGCAGCAGACGGCAAAAAAAGGGGGAGAAAAGGGCTATACGCACGAACTGCTTGCGCTGGAGCAGACGGTTGGTCATGAACTTGCGGGTGCGGACGGTAGCGACCTGAGTGGAGGACATGGCGAAAGGCAAATATGTCAGAGAGGGAGAGGAGCGAGAGGGAGGAAGGGAAATCGGGGACTGAGATGGTGAGGGGGTGCTGTTAAGGCTCCCACACGGGCACTTCGGATGCATGCTTTCAAAGGTGCATCCGATGCAACATGCGTGCTATCCTCAGGCCTCCGGGAACTGTGAGCACACAGGTGGCGATGACTCTCCGACTCGCGCGCAGCGTTTGCCCATCTCCTCTCGACCGGCGCTCGTCCACAGACACACAGACACATGGGGAGAGTTTCCGAGGCCGGGAACCCGGGCCGGGGGCAGGGCGCGCCTCGGAGCACCGGAACCCCTCCCGCGCGCGGGAACATAGGTGCCCCTCTCGCCGGGCGGGAAGAAGACAAACACACGATGGCCGGGCCGGCGCCGAGGACGCCGACGCCGTACGACTCAGCAAGGAAGGGATCGCCGCCCTGTGCCACATGTGCATGTACGTGTGTGTGTGTGTCCGTGCGCGGGCGCATGTGTTGAGGGGAACGGAGGGTCGCACGCCACTGCACCGGCGCCAGGGGAGTTCATGCTTTCGGCAGGGGCGCGCGCGAGGAGCGGAAAGCAGACCAGCATGTGGGCAACACACGGCGTGCAATATGACAACAGCATACTACGAAGGGCAGGGAAGGGGAGGGGGGGGCGAGAGGGGGGGGGGGACGGCAGGCGGGCGAGCGTGGGGCAACCGAGGGAGGAGAGGGGGGAGGGACAGAAGGATACATACCATTTTGGTAAAATCCTCTAGAATGCGATGTGTGTTGAAAACAAAGATGCCAGAAGGATAGAGAGAGAAAATTGGCAAGCCCACGGCCAGAGGGGACCCGCACAAAAATGCGCCCGTTCTGCCCGGGGTCCGTTGGGCGACCATTCCCACACTCACAGACCGACGGGCGACAATGCCTCAGGTCGCGGGACGCGGCGTGTAGCGACAACGTCCGCTCCCCTGCGCGGCGGGGAAGCCCACCTCCCTCCCCCCCCCCGCCCGCCCCCCGACCGAGGGCGATACACACGCACACCCACACCCACACCCACGCCCGCGCCCACACCCACACAAACACGTACACACAGCGAAAGGCCTGGAGAAAGGCCAGTCTGCGTCCCGCTCCGTGTGGTTACCATATTCCCCGGTCTCATCTCCCCCCGTGCACGTCTGGCCCCCCGCGTAGAAGAACGCGCGAGTTGACCCCTGCACCAGCACTCAGCCGTGGGGCTGTCTCCACACACACCCAAGCAGCCCCCCGCCCCCCTCACCCTCGCTCAAGCGGGAAGAACCGGGCGAGCCTCGGGGTGGTGCTGGTGCGAACACGTACGCCCCCCCCCTGCAGGATATCAGACCAGTGGGAACTCCCCCCCCCCCGCCCCCAAGCACACAAATGAATGGAATCCCTCCCTCCGCAGTCACAACGGCTGGAGACTCAACACAAGGGACAGGCCACATGTTGGGCGTTTCACTTGCCACGGAAGGACAGCACGACCTGGGGGCCCACCAAGACGGTACCCACCTTTCTCGGTCCTCCTGACACGCCCCCTGGCCCCACCTCGTGAGCACTTGGCTCTCTGGCTTGCGGCGGCAGCGCAGCTCTTCGGCAGTCAGAACACCACCAGAGGTGCTCCGCTCATCCCGCCGCGCATTCAGCGGTGTCAGATCCAGAGATGGGGCGCGGAAAAACCCGGATTTCCCGGATATCTGGGCCGAGGACAAGTGTCTTCATGCGTGTGGTCTGACCTCTGCCCCGGAGCCCGGACATCAGGAGGCCATGCATCCCGGAAAGTTGGCCGACCGAGAACGCCCGAAGAGTAAACCCGCCAAAAAGGTTGATTATTATTGCCGATATTTGTGTCATTCGGTCGAAATACATTACGCCCCTGCTGTGTCCTGCATTTCGTGATCCATATGGTGACATGTGATCACCACACCGCACGGTTTTGATTTCGCGCCCGATCATTCTCCCTCCCCCCGCCGCCCATCCACCGCGCAAGCGAGTGGAGTGAAAAGGCGGTGAGGCCAGCGTGTGGATGATTGTGGAGGTGTATTCAAGGAGAAAGGAAAAAAGACAGGACACCACTGGCAGCACCTACCCCCTGTCTGAACTCTACCGGAGGAGCTCCGGCGTCGAGACGTGGCTTCCGGATTGCCCTCCAGAGGCAGGCGCAGTTGACCAGCCCGGTGGTTGCGGGCTCATCCGTGGCCTAGTCGGGGCTGGGAGCCGCGTGAAGGTATGTTTTGTCGTCAGTAGCCACCTTCACGCTTCGGCAAAACGATGGGCGGAGAGAGAGAGAGGAAAGATGGCGCAGAAGGGGATGCGGTGGTTGTGCGGGATATACGGCGGGGGAGCTGGCGGCATGTTTCGGTGGCGCAGCATACCTGAATCGCACGCCAGCGGGGAGCGCGATCCGTCGGAGTCCTCCTGAAAGACCGACACATCGAGGGCCTTGTCCGGCGGGGGGAAAGACTCACTCAGGCCAATTTTACTCAAGTACGCATAGATCCCCCAGCCAGTGCCGGCGGGGTTGTCACGACCCTCCAGAGGGGGAGTGCGATCGGAGTCGATCTGTGCCAGGTAACAAGCACATTCCCAGTGCCATTTGTAAGTACACCCATCAGCACGCACACAGGCACACATGCCTCGTCCAGCATGGTGTGCCGAGGGGTTGTCCCGCGCTCAGCCTCGCCCCGACCCCCACCCCACAGCACCCCGGGGGGGGGGGGGGGGGGGGGACGCACGCTCATCATCCCGCCACATTGAAAGGTGAACATACCATGTCGCTGCTTGGGGCGGCGCCCATGCGGCGTCGAGGAGGCGCCTCGCCCAACGCCCCAGCCTCCGCGGCCGACCCCACAGCAGGGGCATGTCCCAGCAAGTCCTCCAAACTCAGAGCCCCGGTTGAGGGGGTTCCTGCGCGCCGGGACCCACCGGTGCCCGCTAGCCAGGACTCCCCCTCAGGGTCTTCCTCCGATTCGTGAGCCGATGCCTGTCGCACGGAGAGACTGCTCACCCGCCGGGACAGGGTCTCCTGGAGAGCATCCCGCGACCGGGCCAGCTCATCATAGGAGTCCGCCAGGCGCCGGTGCTCATCGCGCAACTGGCGGTATTGACCATCAGCGCGCGTGGCGCTCTCGCGCGCATCCACCAGCTCGGCTTCCATCGCACGCAGAGACTCCCCCAACTGGTGGTTGTCCTGGCGCAGTTCCGCCATGCTTTCCGTCAGTTGGCGCTCAAGTTGGGCATTTTGCAGCCGAAGATGCTCCGTATCGGCGCGGCCCTGCGCATTCCGCTCGTCGGCCACCTGCAGCTTGCCACGAAGCTGTCGAATGGATGCCCGCAGATCCGCCAGATCCGCCGCCGATTGGGCCTCGCTCTGGCGGAGCCCTGCCTCCGCCTCGGCCACGACCTGGGCCTTCTCGGACTCCAAGGCAGCCACCTCGGCGGCCAGATCGCGCATGCGCTTGTTCAGGACCGTTTCCCGTTCGCTGGCGCGCGCCCGCTCGAGTGTCAGCTGCTCGGCCAATTCCCGAGCACGAGCTTGCTGCTTGGACTCTTGCTCGCGCGCGCGGGCCTGATCAATCAGCCGCTGATCCTCCAGTTGCTGGACTTGGTCCTTCAGAGCAGCATTGGCTGCCTCGAGGTCGGCCACACGCGCTCGCTCTGTCGCAAGCAACTCCTCCAGTGCGGCAATTTTGGAATTGGCCCCGGCCAGCTCGTAATCCGAGCGTGTCTGTCGCCGAGCCGCTTCCTCGAGCAGGCGTTTCGCGATGTCTCGCTCCTGATCGGACTTCCGCAGCGCCGCAAGGTACTGGTCATCCTGTGCCGGGGCAAGTGTGTGTGGGAGAGGGAGGGAGAGAGAGGGAGAGAGAGGGAGGGAGAAGGAGAGGGAAGTGGGGTTAGTTGGAGGCCGGTCTAGAGGGAAATGTAAGCGAAGCATGGCCACCTACCAGTTTCCGGCGGATACTCTCCTCAGTGAGGGATTCCCGCTGGGCGGCCACCCGGAACATGGTCATCTGCTGGGCCAAGTGCTTGAGTAGGGCCACGCCTCGACCGAGGAAGGAGCCAATCGGGCCCGAGTCCAGGGCAATGGACACCAGGTTGTGGGCGAAGTGAATGTGACTGGGTGGAACCGCGTCAGTCAGAAGGACATGCCCACAGTGGACAGACGAGAGACAAGCACACTTGAGGATACCTTTCCAAGATCTGACACCCCTGCTCCAGAGTCAGCGAGGTCAAGTGTGCCTCGGTCAATGGGTGCTCCTTCAGCAGGTCACTGAACACCAGTGCGCTCTCCCGGTAGACGGCCCGGGCCTTGGCATGGGCGGTCGCCAATTCGCCCGTACCAGCCCCTCCCGGAGCCCGGGGAAGCAGCAGCCCCTGTGTCGACAGAGCCGCATCGATCTGGAGCGATAGGCTATTCAGGATGTTATGCAGACTCCCAAGGGCCTTGGCCGACAGGAGAGACAGCGTTTCCTGGCTAGCATCACCGGGAACCATGTGACCACGAGCCTACATGGCGCAAGCGACTGTCAGGACTCAAAGTGCAAGCTGGATGGAGGGAGGGGGGGGGGAGGGGGGGTGGATTGAAGTGGGCGGCGCACTTGGGAAACGCTGGCGATCTTGGCCTGGTAGTACCGATGGCAGCTCATGATCTTGGCCTCATATTGGATGCTGTTATGCGCCATGGATCGGGCGGCCTTCTCCATCTGCCGGATGTAGTCCTCCAGCGAGTCACAGACGTCGCATTTGCTGCCGCCAGGTGCACCGGCAGTGGTGGCAAGGGTGGCCGGGGGCCGGCGGGCCAGCAGTGCCGGCGAGTCGGCCACCCGAGTGGGAGCCGGACCCGACTCCGGCTCAGCACCCGGCGCAGCGTCCTCCTCGTCGTCGCCGAAAAAGAGGAGGTTTCCCACCGGGTAAGTGGAGTAGGATCCGGGGAAGAAGATGCGCGACTCATCGGTGGGGAATTGCGCGGCCCGCGGCCGGCGAACGGTCTGTGGCGTGGCCGGGCCGCCGGTTGTCGATCGCCGGGACGGCGTGTCCACCGAGGAGCCAAGGTACTCGGAGTCCGAGTCGCCCAGCGGCGAGGGAGGCTCAGCCGCCGGGGCAATCTGCTCAAGCAGCGGGTTCTCCCCGGGACGCAGCGAACCCGGGGCCAGCAGGGGTGCCGTCACAGAGACCGGCACCTCGGCGAAGGCACTGGCAGCCGGGCGGGGATATGTGCCATGCACAGCACTGGTCAGCGGATTGCCGCCGGCGTCAGGGACCAGCGGGGCCGGAGCTGATTGTGTGCGATCGGCCACATGCTGGTACGGGTGGAGGTGTGACCGGCCGAAGGCAACGGCCGCTGGCAGAGGCTGCCGCGGGGCCAGCGGGTGAAAGGGCTGTCCAAAGGCGGCGGCCGTCGAGGCCGACACGCTCGGGCCGGCGGCAGCTGGCCCCGGACGTGAAGCGATCGGCGCCGGACGCGGGGCGAATGGCTGCGGCTCCACTGGCTCGACGGGTGCCACAGACAGCGATCGCCGGGGGGCTGTAGTGTCGCCCGAGGTGTTGGCTGCCGGTGGGTCGGCTCGATTCCGAAGAAACTCCTCATGCTGACGGGTCATCTCCTGTCGCGAGAGGCTCCGGTACCGCGGCAGCGAGGATGATGGCGAGGGGGTGTCCGCTAGCAGGGGGGATGCCGAGGCCGACGCGCCTGTTGAGGGGGGCGCCGACCCCGCCGAGGTCGAGAGGGAGAACGAAGAGTAGGAGGACATGTCTGCGTGTGTGTTCTTCCTTGGCGGGTGGATGCCGGCTGGCCACAGTGGGGGCGGGGGGGG